TTAAAGTTAAAAGAACACATATAAATGTAAAATATAGTGTCAATAAATTAACATTTCTAATTTGTCAACAAGTAACACACGATGAATGAGTTATTTTAACATAAAATTTAGAGTGGACTTTCTGGGACATTTGAAAAATGTTACGATTAACATTTTATTTTTTACTGTGTAATATACAGTTATGTATTTCTTTATGTGGTGCAACGGCATACCGAGTTCAGTAAATTCTCTCACACGAGATGAAATATTCGACCCCTTTCTTCGTCGTAAAAACGCAGTGGAAGAAGTTACTTAAAATTTGTTTTTCCCTCCAAAGTAAATAACTGTAGCTTAGCAAATATGCGGATCGAGGCACGCCGAAAGTCCAAGTTTCGCCGGAAACTCGGAATTCCACGATCTAGATACGCGTTCCAGATATCCGAACATCGTCGACCAACTAAGAAAACTATTAGTAAAATATATCTTCCCGGCAACTAATATCGCGGGGCATACCGAGGATCGATGTCGGAAGAGAACAACTAATGCGCCCGAAACTTACAAATGTACAAATTAAGCATCTGCCACTAGCCCCGAAACAGTGACTAAATAGAGTCGGTCGCTATCCATTGTTAAATTCGCAGTGTCAAATTATAAAATTTGAGTCATTTTCAACTATTTCTATATAAATCGCCACTGCTCCTACTCAATATATCGTTAATTTAACTAAAACAATGTTAATTTAGTTAAATTAACATTTTGTTTTGTCTCAAAATTTATTATTTTAACACAAAACAGTATTATTAGGTAGTTAAAAATAATAAAATGTTATTGGTTTAAATTTTATCTTTCAACTTTATATTTAACAGTGTCTTTACATCAGTCATGTACAAATGGCAGCGTGCATACAACAATCGCCATGAATTAGAAAAATTATGATAAATTTTAAAACAAAAGTTCTCATAATAATTTTAAAAAATATGTACAATTTATAAAATTTCAAAATCCATTACAAAATTAAAAATGCTAACTAATTTACTCGAAGAAAGAATTAATTTGTAATATCAAAAGGTCAGAGTGCACAAGTGAAGTAGCTATGTAATTTATTAGATCATGTCACGTTAAGCCAGTGCAAATTTCAAGCAATAATCTTCATAATTTATAACTACGTTTAATCACGGTTGCCAGCGGACGACGTAATCGAATTAATGACCGAGAAACGATTTACTACTGAACTTCAACGCGACGTCGACGTTTATGCGAAACACGGGCAATAATATCACGCAACGTGAGTTTGATTGATAGTTTTGAAATTCGCGATTCAACCGGGATGACGTTCATCTCGGAAGAATGCCGGCAGTGTTGATTGAAGTTATCGAAAAGATATTTCTCTCTCCCGAAGAGTGCGCGAACATTTGAAGAAAACGTTCCAACTTTGCGAGAGAGTTTCGAAGTGCGTTTTCCGAACAATGAGCAAAGTCTTTCGTGTCGACAGAAAAAGTGACAGAAAAAAAGAGGACAAGTGCCAATGGGAAAAACGCTGGTTGAACGCGAATTGGAGCTAAATCGGACAGTGACCTCGTTGGAATTAAGTTCGTTAAATTAATTGCGTCTTCTTATAGCCAGTAATATCATTGCCGGCGATAACATTTACTTCTCGTATCGCGAACTCCTTCAAGTTCCTTCAAATAGCACAGTGCGGTAAAAAGGAGTAAAGTCGAAAATCGATGTAAATACGATAATCTCCGATAATGATAATAAAGAAATTTCTTTTTTCTTCTCAGAGATTGAATGCAGTTAGATTTTGTTTCGGAGAAAATCACATTCTCGTTTCTTAATGGGTATCAGTTGTAGAATCGTAAATTAAGGTTTAATTATGCAAATGGTTTTTCCACTATAAATACCTGACGCCGCAGAAGAAAGATAAGACGTTTCCATCAACTTGGGCGAATACTCACCTGGAAAAGAACAAGAAATATAACATTAGACATTTTGTCCGATTTAACGAATCCTGTAGACAATGTAGACGTAAAAAAATTTACATTATATCATCTCCTTCTCAGAAAGCTGCTTTTATTTGCTTGACTTCATCGTCATGCTTATAACTTTATCTTAACAGATATTTCATTTGAGCTTTAATTATCAACAGATTTAATATTAAAACATTAAAGCCCAAAACTTTAAGATCTATAATCTGTATCAAATTACAGAATGGATTTCTATTTATAATTTTATATATCGTATATTTTAATTTTTTAAATATTTTTTATATGGCAAATAAAGCTATAAATATTCTTTATAATTTATAATAAACTCTCGATTGAATTCTTACATAAATTATAAATCGTCTAATGTGAGTTTTAAATTCTAAATATCGAAGAATCTGTTGAAAAGACAATCGCGTTGAATTCTTTAAAGTATATCTAATACGTCAGAAGACACATGGAAAGAAACTTGGTATCGCAAGCAAACCCCGAGGAGTGTCCTCGAGCATCGCGAGTTGGCACATTGCAAGATAGCTCCTGGTACTTTTAGGCTTCGAGTGCAGTCGATGCAGTTGCGAAAGTGTCGGGAAAAGAAGGGAAGTTTCGATTACGAGAAAAGGTGCCGCGTCAAGATGCCAGCGCAGCGATTCGGGCATCCTCGAGTGTATCAACGTATTGCCTCTTACCAGGGATCTTGGCGAGAACGATCCGCCGCGATAGCAAAGCAAGTCAATAGCTCGTAAAATCCAATCGTATAATTTTCAACCCGCGTGACGCTTAATTATACAACGTACTGAATCATTTTTATTTCAAATTCTATATAAAATAATTTGAATAAAATATAAAACTTGACTATAAAATAATTGACGATTCTATTGTTAAATCTTTTTACCATCTTTTTTAATGAAACGATTGCGGAATCTATTTAAGTTACTGAAATTATCTTAGTTACTTAAATTGTGTAATGTCTAAATATTATATTAGCTTCTTGTTTTTTTAAACACTGATTAAAAATCCTTTTCTAAAAAGGAGATGTGAAGTTTATTGTTGCCGCTTTTCCGCGATGCCGATTGGTTTTCTTGCTGCGCTTACTTCATTTGCAGCTGTCATTGTATATTTTGACAGTTGTGTATAATAGGGTTAATAGTGAAATGTTAAAGATAAATAGCGCGCGCGTAGCGCGCGTCTGTAGTGTCTAGTTTATCAAAAAATCTGTGGCTATTAGAGATTGTCGCGATAATAATATAGGATGTATTTTAGGAGAGTATATAAAAGAATATAAAAATATCCAAAGGAAGAAAAGAGTACTCATGTCGATTACAGAGACGATCAGAGTCCCAGGACACAATAGGAAAGAGAACGACAAAAGGAACCCTCGCAATCGATCGCAGATTGTTTATCTAGGAATAAAGCAGCGCGGTCGCGTTCCAATCTTGTTACTTCTTTGAAGTCGAGTTTCCTTTTTCTGTAAAGCATGGAACGTTACGCAGTGAAGAGATAAACGACCGGGTGCATCGCGCACGGAATTATATGAAGACATGAAATAGCTAGTATCATCGTCAGAAGGATTCTCTCTCCAAGGCCTCTCTTTTTCAAGCTTCACTTTCTTGCAATGTGCGAAATAAAAATACATATACGACTGACTACGAAATATTTCTCCGTCCATATTTATTGCAGAGTTAAAATATGAAATAAAAAAAGTGAAGTGCAGAAATGTCAGATCGGTAGGAATCTGTGCATGGTCGATTTTTTCTGCGATTTAGCGAGTATATACGTAAAAGAAAGCGTATAGTAAGTGTATAGTTGATTTAAAATTCCGTCGAGTTATCGTCAATATTTTACGAGGTTTCTGCATTTTTTATTTGCATGATAAATCTAAGAATGGATACATTCTCCAGATTATAGAAGTAATTTCTTTCTTCGATTCACGAATATTATAATCTGATACTTGGTAAAGAGCATGGTATACAGGATGAAATCCCGACTGCATGTTACGTTCACATCTCAAATCCTCAAATTCCAAGTGACATATTTACATGACATATGTAACTAAGGCGACAGCACGCGAAGGAGCTAAACGTTGATGCTTTCTCTGCGATCACGCGCGGTCTTTGCTTTCGATTGAGCTATCTAAGATCTTTCAGTTCACCTTCGTCGCCGAGGTACTCCCTGCAACTTCATGAACTCGATTTCTCAAAGAGCCACGATCAACAACTCCCGCAATCCCCAAGAGTATAGGTATATCTCGAACGCGAAGATCCCATCGAACTTCCACTATCCCGACCGAACACTCGCAGGGGATTATCATTCAACATTTTGATATGAATAACTCTCTTTCCATGAATAACTCCGTTTTAGAAAGGTTCTATTTGGTTCGTTAATTCTTCATGTTCATAAAAATATTAATGATTAAAAATGACAAGAATCTCACGTTTCGATCCTTTTTAATCTGATGTATACATTAATATAAGTATAATATTAGTAATATATATAATATTAAATAATATTAATGAAGTTATAAAAATAAAATTTAATTTTAATTTTAATTTTAATTTTAATTTTAATTTTATTAATTTTAATTTCAATTTTAATTTTAATTTCAATTTCCATTTACAGGGATCTTGCATCGATATGCAACGAGATACTTGCACCTCGATGTAACTAGAAATATATTTCATAGCTTATCTTCATCACATATTTTTAAAAGCTGCACGGAAGGCACATTACATTGATTATTTTTTAATTATTAATTCCACATCCAAAAATGTGTGTGACTAAATTCTCCCATATCTCTCGTGAGAGATATTGTTTCCAAATTAGTCGGACGGTGTATATCATTACGAATAAGAAATAGGATCCCTACTCAGAGACCCTGGATCAGTCTTGTATTTTTAGTGCCGTACGAATTACACGATTGAACTCGCGTCGACATGCGAGAGGCACGCGAATATCTTACAATCCCGCGGGATAGACCGACGGATCTGGTCGGAGCCGGCCGGTGAAAAATTCAGCGTGCATGCGAGCAACAGGGGAAGGTACCTTCGTCGCCAGAAGTTGAGGAGTTGTCCTCGGGTTCGGGCGACGACCCTGGGGATCGTCGGCCGACTCTCGAGTCCGGTCTGCCGCACTCGCTGCCGGCACTTCCTCCGCCGCTTCCACCGCCTCCTCGGTGGTCCTCGCGCTGACGTGCTGTTCCTTTCTCGGGGGACACCGATCGGGACTCCCTGGACTCGGCGGCACCGTACGTGCCGCCACGTCGCCCTTCTCTGGCTTCGAGTCCAGGCAATCGTTTGCTGAAGTCAGTGGGCATCGCCGGCCGCTTTCTGGGAGTACGTTTACGTTTACGCCACGGTTTACGCGCCAAGGTAGAATTCTTTCTAAATTTTTTTTTCGGACATGAGACTCGGTATCGCGAGAACCGAATGAGTTTGATCCGAGAAACGTGTCGAGACGATTTTTAGCATGACAAACAAACGTCGCGATATCTCGTTAATGCGAGTTTAATTAATAAAATCATTCATTTACGATGTTACATGATTTAATTTTTAATTGTTTTCTTTCATTACTTCATGATGTAATAATAAATAAAATAAAATGTAAGCTGTGTAAACTTGCAAACTATTAATTCGATAGCGAGATTGGATATAACGGCCAGCTATGGATTCAGATCAACAAACAGGAAAGCGCGACCAAAATACAAATGAACAACTTGTTTCAATAAGTGTGAATGACGCCGTCGTACGAGCACCATATTGAAAATCGGGATATTACGCCTGTTGATTTTATCCGACAACAGTACGTTGAAGCTAATCTCGGGTATCTGAATGTGAAATGGAAGTGAGCGAGCCGGACTCTGCATTGAGCTTCACCGAATGATGCATGTGATCGATCAATTTCCTCGGATGACAACGTCAAGCCGTCCTAATGGATCAATAGATCCAACACGAGCATCGACCATCGCGACGCAAAAATGTCGTTCGACGCCATTGTTTCGTGAAAATGACAATCACGCAATTTTCTGGTTATCGTGTTTTCGTTAATTAACCTGAAACTATAGATTAATATTACAAAATTAATGATAGCTAGTGAAATAATAACCATAATAATATATTTCACGCTTTCGTATAATTATACAAAATATTTTTATATAAAGCGTTTACTCATAAAAATCATTAATTACAATTGCTATTTCTATTCTTCACCTGTGTAACAAAAACTCGCGAAGTGAAGTAGAAACCATAGAAATTCAGATAACTAGTTCTATGGGGGTCGATAGATAAACTGTCCATTCCGGAGGACTATTTGCTCAGAAAAAACTGTAAGTCTTCTTTTATTTGTTAGAACGCGAGTTCTCAAGCACGATGAAGAAATCGACGGTCGATGCTCGATCTGTCCCCGAAGAGTACTGTGAGAGTAATGAACTAATATGTCAGTCGCGCACCGGACGTAAACGTACTCCCTGAAGTCGTTTGGACGATCGGTCGGGGCCGATCTTTCTGAGGCCGGATCTCTGGGCTCGCCGGCGGCGGCGGCGGCGTTTCCGGTCGGCGACGCTCGCTTTCCGGCAGTGGTCCCTGAATGATGGTACTGGTGATGGTCTCTGGCTCCTTCGTGGCTGGCGTCACGGACATTTGCCAGGTCAGCGTTGGCAGCAGTCTTTGCCTCCTTGGCGGGTGATGGCGGCGGAGACGTTGGTGGCGATGGTGATGGACTTCCTGCACGAGCAGAGTAACACACTGCTGCCTTCCGCAGGGTCTCCCTGCACAGCTCGGAGAACATGCTGTCTCCCCCATGGCCGGGGCCCCACCGGACCGGCCCGCTTCCTCCTCCTTCCGTTCGCTCTTCGTGGTCCTCTTCTTACTGTCCGCGAAACAGTCACGAATCTCGCTCGCCGTTCATCATCGTCTCCTCTTTTCTTTCCTGGGGATCGTCAACACGGCGATTTCACCACGACAATTGACATCACATTGTCGAGCGGGGAACCGATCGCGTCGCGACTCGCCTGTTCAGATTCGATTCGAGAATGGAGAACTCGTTCGGGCGAGTATCTGAGAAGGAATATTGGTAAGGTTACGTCGGACTTGGGCTCAGGTCGTCGGCCTTTGCGTCGTAGAAGTTGGCTCGTGTTTCGCAGTCAACGTTTAGCAATATTGGAAGGGAGAAATTGACACTGAAGTGGTGGTGGAGAAGAAAGATGATCGTTCAAGAAATTCTTACAGCGGATTCTTTGACAAATCAAAATTACGTTTGGTATCTCAAATTTCCTCATTTTTCTATACGCTTACCTCCCTTTTTAAATATATTATTACACTTCTATAAACACTTATTAGACAGTGAAGTCTATAAAAGGAAAATATAAACTAATCTTACATTAGAAGCGACGAGAGAGAAATATCTCTGCAAAATATCACATGATTTTGATATACTCGTAAACATATTCACACGAGTAACATAAGACGGGAGAACTTGCGGGCATCATAAAGCATGGTAGGCATGCCGCCGCGGGCAGATGACACGGGTGCATAGCGCGAAGGTGTTCATTAAAGTAGGGTGCACGACACGGTGTGTAGTGTTACGCCGGTCATGGGCTCGTAACAAAAATGTCTGGCTGATTGCCAGCCGTTTGAAAAATTTACAGCCTCGGCCGCGATACCGCCGGCGACGCGAAATGTCTCGTACAAAGCGGCATTCCGTGACGTTCACGTTTAGGGGGTCTGCAGAGAGCGGGGGAGCACCGCAGCGATATCGATTTACATTACGCTAAAATTACACCGCATGCTGTTAATTTAGCTCCCGCCGCGTGGGCATGCGAGGTATTTCCATCGCGGGCCCCGTTATACGATTTATGTCGCGTATTCCACTCCTGTCTCCCACACGTCACTTATTGAAAATCATCAAAGCGAGTTTAACGACTCCGCTCGTGTGGTCACGTTAAATTAGGCTCGTGGATGTCCCGTTAACGATGTTTGACCGATTAGTAACTAATGATCGCTGATGCTATATCAAATAATTAAATCAATGCTAAATTGAGCGTAAAGGAATGAATTAGACACGTGGATTCGCGATAAGAAAAATTATAACTTTCTAAAGGATATTAATTATAAATCAGGTCTATCGATGAAGTGATCATCGATAAAGATTTTAGAGAGAACGAATTACGTTCCGCAATTGTTGAAAATTCTATATTTCTACATCTACAGGATTACACTCTTATACTCGTCAAGGTACATCAGGTCGATAACGAAGCTAATCAGTTTGCATCGACAGAAGCTCGTCGTCACTATGATATCGTGATATATATAGTCTCGCATTAATATTTGATTTCATCAATAACGGGAAGATTGCATTCGATTATTAAACTGAATGGCCGAATGTCAATGACGCGTTGCAGAAATGCACGTTTATTTCAGCCCGTCTTCCGCATCGCGAGCGTACAATAGATTCTATTATTTAGCATTCGATTACGCGCCGCGTTAATGAGGAAGTGATAAGTGCGGAATCGTCCATCTCTCTCGCGCTATCGGCACGATCGCATTTGAACGTAGATAAATATTGCGCGGATGGCTGGGTTTCGAAAGAAAATTCCTTATATCCACTATCCGCGCTATCTAGGTGCGATAAGTATAAATTTTCGAGTGTGATCCGGCGAGAGAATGATTTGGGAAGTTTCGAGGAGAGGGAAATGCGGCGCGCTTTTCTATTTTTCCCTCTCCCTCTCTTCTCCGTGGCGGAAAAATGGTCTACATTCCCGCTTGAAGGACTCTATGATTTATCGTTGCACGCGACGTTACAGCGCGCAAAAACTCTTTCGGTATGCGCACACTTAGCATGCACATTATTCCGTCAAACGTCCGCTGTACCATTGCCAACCACACATCGGTCATTAGAAAGAAAACAGAATTGATGAGAATACCCGAACACGACGATTTTCAGTCGCGCTAAAGCGAATTTTATCGCTTTCGTTGAAACTGAAGAAATGAGTATCTCTTTACCGTTTATCATCCGTTTTCGAGAAGCGGGTCCATGAAATAACATGAAAACAATAGTTCTCATGACTTAATGCTCATATTTTGCGCCAAAAACAATTTTATCATAAAGAAATCTTGCCTATTTGCGGACATTTTTTTCAGTTCAACATTTTAGATGTTTTCGGTGATTAAATTAGCTATTAGATTAAGCTTCGTCTAGATTTAAGCAACAGATTAACTTCGGTTACAAGATTATGAAGGAATACGTTGCCAGGTTTCGATGCAAATCCCACGAGATTACGTCGTAGTTCGGCGGAATACTAAATGTCTTCCTTCGAAACCTGATCGCGCAAAGTTGTGACGCGAGAGTACCGGAAGCCGACGGAAGTCGTGGCGGACAACTATGCAGAAACGTCGTGCATTTTCATTCGGGTGAGGCTAAGCGATTCACGTTCATGCGTGAAAGCAATCGCCGACGGCTAGTCGGCCTTGCCGATCGGCAAACGAATCATCGAGCTTCTGTCAGAGTCAGACGTGCGTGGGAACAATGGCGCGTCATTCTCCTGGCATCTAGTACACATGGAGACATCCTCATTTTCATTTGCATATACGTGTTACAACGTGTCCATAATATCTGCTAGACGTTTCATTTTTTTACATCAGCGAGAGAACTGCGGAAAATACGATAGAAAAGAAGAACGGATAGTGTTTTCCAAGTAAGTCACTTACGCGATATGAATAATAGTTGCAATATAAAATAAAATCGTGACTAGAATCACGAAGAGGTTGAGAGAAGGTGCATCTCAGGCTGACGACAGTGACGACGTTAATGAGCGACGAGAGTCAAAGGAGACTTTGTGAGAGACGCGATACATTCGATGGAAACAAACGAGCGACTTCAAAGTGGTGAAAATAAACGTTTGAACGTTGGCAGGTTATTGCGAGCGAGATATTGCAAGTCATCTTAATTTAACGTTGTCTGCTATTCGGCAAGTCTCATAAGAATTCGCCGTTCGGTTTAATCCCGGTACTTTAGGCCTCTGAACGTATCTAAAAGATAAATGGCGAGGCATGTGTGATGCGGCCGAAATTCATTATGTTAATTGCTGTCCCTGAGGCGAGGGCGGATATAAGCCGAGAATTGAATAATGAAACAAAGGCAACGGAATTAATTTTATTCCGTAGGGGGTAGATGATCGGCTGTGGCTCTTGTGCTAAACTGCAGATTGCCGTAATGGACGTGGAGAAATTTAAATAATTAAATTTGTGCTATTATTAAACATATACGTTTAACAGATAATTATAAAACTTGAGTCGGAATAGAACTATCAGCTCGAATATAAATAGAATTATGAATTTCTTTCAATATTTTAGGCAAGAAATATGTATAGGTATCATTTACTGCTACTCAATATCAGTAACTTGATTTGAAAGTATATTTTTACTTTTTCTTAATAAAAGTGTATCATGTTTCCTTTATCTCTAAAATAGGACACTGCGCTTTAATGAGAGGAAAGGATATCTTGATATCAAGCTGTAATTATCTGATAAATCCCTCCATGATGAAAATCAATAACACTAATTAATTTTATAACAACTTAATCTCTTATCGAATTTTGCAAAAAGTTTTAGTGCAGAAGCCATTTTCTCATTTTATGATGACATGACATTTCAATCTCCTATAGTCAAACTTAATTTTAAATAAGTTCTCTCGGATAGATTGACGCGTAGTCGCGGAAGTCGGTAAAAATTGATTTTGATGGTTTAAACTCGAACTTTGATTACGAACTCTATTTGGAACGCTCCGAGTATTTGGTCGTTTTCCGGAAAATTGTGCCTGCCAAGACGCGTTCGGCTCGGTCGCCAGTTACATAGACTGCGAGGATGGAAAACAAAAAGTTCCCTCGAAAGAACGACGCCACGATGCCGCTGGGGATATAATTCTGTTACCATCTCTGTGCCACTTTGCAGCATTTTGCTGGCAATCGGACCAACAATCTTAAAATACGTAACGTTGAAAACTGAAAAGATAACACCAAGCAAAAGGAGCTACTTTGTGGATAAGATTGATAATAATGATAGTGATGGCAATTATGTATCCGATTTGAAGTGTCTTAAACTAATAATACGTGAGGTATCGATATGCCGATCGTACGACGCGGATAAGGTCAAAGTTCAATCATGGATTAATCTTGAAATTAGCCAATCTGCCGTCGAGATCGCCAATTTAATCCTTAATTCAAATGAAGTCCATGTTGATGCGCGAAATTGCATCGATACCAGGCGGTAATCCCGGTGAGATCGCAGTGGCCACGTGATCGAGACGTTTGTGATTCCATCTGTCCACGTGCGACATTTCGCGAAGTGGATTATCTCAAACATCTCATGCAACGCAATGATTCAATAACTTCTATCACATCTGTACGTACGTTCATTTACTAAAAAGCTTTTTTTAAAGACGGCAAAAAGTGCAGCTCATAAATGTGTTGATCAATTATCTTTGGTAAATTAAAAACAACTGAGAAGATTAATTAGAAACTGTACTTTCGTTTATTGCGTTGTTGTTGCACGAAAGTGTTTTAGAATTCTATGTGGAAATTTAACAAAGCAGAAATGCATGATGCAATAATCACGTGACCACAATCTTGTAAATTGTACATCTTCTTTGAAGCACTCTACGTTTCTCGGTATTTAGTTAATGAAATAAGATCTGCCAAGACCTCATAAAGGAAAAATCAAATACAAACAAGTTGTATAATTGAGGCTGCAGCAAAGAAGAACGTATAACAAATTAGGTTAAACATTGAAATTGCAATCTTTCATAGATAAAATAATCTGCCGATGTACACTTCTCAATTGCCAAGCTATTAACTTCAATGATTGGTTCACGCTATTTCAGCTATTTCTAAAATGCACATTGAATCGCTTTTACCACACCCGGTTTTCTTCTCAGCCTCGTCAAGCTATCAGATTCGACTAACGGAAGCAAACAAGTAATAACAGACGCGGTCAAAGAGACAGACATGATCAATTCTCATCCGCATTAAAACGAGCCAACCGCAGCGGACCGCAGAGTAGTAGGAGATCAGGACGAAAGAGCGGAGGGAGATTTTGCGGCACGAGAAAAGCACGACGAAAAGCACCTCGTTTCCGACGCGTTCACCTCGTGGCAAGCCGACGTGTCATCGCGACAACCCGGGGTTCAAGGTGGATGGTCCCGGATCCACCTGCGTACCGGATGGTCTCCAGGCGAGAACTGAGCCTGCGAGATTGCCGAGAGGGAGAGAGAACGGCGCGAGGTGCTACGCCGAGGCGACCCCCGTATGGAGGGTGGCGCACGCGGAGAGGGTCGCACCGACTCCCACGAAGGTCCGACGTGCGCCGCTCGGTTAGTACGTGCGTAGTACATCGTTGCGAGGATCCTGGAGGGCTGGAAAGAGTCGGAGGGATATGGTGGAGAAACAGGAATGGAGGAAGGGTGGGTGATAACGGAGGGATGGAACGAGAGGGGCGGGTACTGTCAGTTAGTGCGTATTCGGTATGTTATACGAGAAAAGAAGACAAAGTGGAAGAAAGAGGGAAGAAGGAGGAGGCTGGAAGAACGGTCGTGAGATGAGACGGAAAGATAGAAGAATCACAGATACAGAGGAAGCGAAGGAGGAGTGGGAATACCGGCGGTAGTGGCCGTCCTCCATCGCCCGTGGTGCTGAACGACGCGGCGCTGGCGCTGGTGTTGCATCGATCAGCCGTCGCCGCCACCACCTGCAACCCTCTCCCGAAATGGTCAACCCTCGATCTCGTGGAGCGGCGCGCGTTCGGCACATCCATCCATTCAGCCTGTGCCGCCTAATTCCATCATGATCTTCAGCCTCCTCTTTCTCCTCCTCCTCTCAACATGGGGACTTCTCTCTGCCCATCACCCCCCTCGTCCTGCTTCTTACTCGCCACCGATCGACCGATGGGCTTGATTTATTATTTTGCCCGTTCAAGTTTTCGCCCCGTCAGCAAGCGCTTTCGCGTGAACTAGCGTTTTGAATCGCGCCAACAGTGGTCATTGCAATTCGATGGAGAACCAGGTGACCTCGATCAGAAAATCTGATATCTCGAGCCTTAATACTCGAGTGATCGTAAATATAATCCTATAATGAAATTGTGTGAGATCACGTCAGGTGTTTTCGAATATTTTTGCATCTTTAGATAAGTTGAAAGTAGCTTCGAGATAAAAAATTGACGTAAGATATTACAGAACATTGAGCACCAAACGAACAGATTTTTGTCGAGGGTCGATCCTCAAGGGTCCCGCAAGTGAAGATTTAGGATAGAGAACGGCTGGCAATTCCCATAGTCGATCCGCCTTTCTCTCGGTCCACGGCGTCGTCCTCGAGGATCGATAACCTTGAAGACGCCGTAGCAACGTGCTCTAGGGTTTCTCTACGAATCCCCTGACGGATCATGGCGATACGGAGTAACACGATGCGGGAATACAGAACCGTGCAGAAACGTCCTTCCTTTTGGGGAATTGTCCGACGGTGAAATCACATTATTTCTTCTCCAATGTTAAACTCGCCGCGATGAAATTTTTTTCTAGATTTTCGCTTTTACGATATGATACCTCAACGAGACGAGCGAATATAGCTTCGAAGAAGTAAAAGAATTACGAGCTGCCTCTTATTTCACTATACATAAACGCGATACGAATTCAGCCAAGAAAATAATGGTTCGAAATTACGTTGATCTTAATCTTAGAATCATGCATCATGCCAAAACACCGTAAAATTCTAAAAGATAACGTCTCAAACTGATACCGTTTCGACATGGTAGTTTTTCGGAATATTCCTGCGCATAAAATCTCTTGGAGAACCAATACATTGTTGAGGCGTTGTCCCACTTTTCGAATTTCGCAACTATTTTGTCAGGGGCTTTTCTCTCTCGAGTCGTGTTTGCTACTTTCTCAAATTTCGCGATTACGCCCTTTCGAAACTTTCTCGCTCTCAACCGAGAGAGCGATGTTTCCGAAACGTCACACCCGAATTTACATTGTTGACGTGAACGACGTGGCTCGGTCTTGCGTATGTGTCTAACCGAAATTCCGGGCGTGTCTGGCGAGATGGGAAGACGGCCAATTCGAGAAACCAGACTAATCGGAATCCCTCGCCGCGTGGAGCCCCGGCGTATCCATGTTTCCGCGCAAGAAACATCTCGACGGCACGGCACGGCGCGACGCGGCACGTCCACCATCGTGGTCGGTCTTCTCTCGTTTTTCTAACTGATCTCGGAAGAGGACTCCCCGGGGTGGCCCCGGCTTTTGCTCTCGATCCTACCTTAGCCTGGAAAATTACATCCCGACACGGAACTAATCCGATGACGATCCCTGCTCAGGGTGATTAGTTTTATTCCAAACGTTTGTGAGTAAACTGAGTACAATCAATACTAAATATTTTATAATTTTGGAGCGATGATATTGAATCAAATGCGAAATGATTTGTATTTATATTATGGCAATTTAGTAAGATAATTGATTAAAACCTCGCTATAAATGATCTCGCGCTTCGATGCTTATCTAAACATTCTAATATATTATAGATAAAAGAAAAAACTTAGTTTTTTTCTCATAAAAAGCATTGTGATGCATTTGTATCAAACTCTATGCTAATCATTTTTTGTCTCACACAGAGTAGTAGTATAATAAAATGTAGTGATTATTTTTAGTAGTAAAAAAATTAATGAGCTTGAAACGCGCACTTTCATAAGTCACGTTTTAATAACTCGTGAAAGAATCGTCCGAGCTTTCAAAGAAAATATAATATATAAGAATCATTTAATCAAGGTAATCAATTCCAAAGCATCCTTGCGTTCGCGGTTCGACATATTTAATTGGAAAAGTTTTCTCGTGCCCGCGGGAGAAAAAAGCTGCGGGAGTTTGCGACGCCGCGCGATACGATCATCAATCGTTAACGAATTAGTCGTCGAGTCTCGAAGAAGTTCGCAGCGCATCGAGCCTTATCGCAGTACCATAATTATCCGGGTCGAAGACGAGCGCTCGAGAGTGAAGCAAGTTATTTATCGGGAGATTAATTTCAACGCCGGGAAAATGTCCATCGGCGGGGAATGCGATTTCTCTCGAATCTCTCGTTATCGCTGTGAGAGAGCGGGAAAGCGGGAAAACAAGGAGCACTTCGCAGCACTTAAAGTGCTTTCGCATCTCTCGTTCCACTTTGCATTCGTAAACTTGCTTTATCGACGATTACGTTCATTCCGGTCGTCAATAAGTTGCGACGAAAATGTTATATGAGAAATATTTGTTCTATACGAATAGCTAAGAAAATTATTGCTAATAAGACCGCTTTCCTTTTCCTCTAGGAGCTTTGATCTTTAATATCAGATTTTCCATTAAACGCACGAAGGTACCCTTTATCCTCTTTCCAATATTCCCATGTGACTAAACGAATTAAAAACACGCATTTCCCCTTCTGTCAGTTTCGTTAAATTCCACCGGCCACCTCGCTTAAAATCACATTCTTCCACTAAATGGAAATCAATCGAATGGCGTCCACCCTGTCCATCTACGTTGCCGCGCCGTCGCGCCACTCCGTTAATTCTCGTCATATCGAACTTACGCGGCAGCCAAGTTACCCCCTGTATTCTGTGCTCACACATACGGTTTTTCACACGGCCGAGGGGCGACATGCACTGTTGCTTTTGCGAGTTGTCCGAATATAGTCGGGTTCTCGACTAATAGCTATGCACGTATTCGCTCGCACCTTGTTTAAACGAAATCAGGATTTAGTCGACCGATTCTTGGACGTCAAAATGACGAGGGTATAAAATAGAATAGAAGATCTACCTTTTTGTTATATCTGCATCTTTTTTTAAACTAAACTATGGTTTTAACATTTCATATTTAATATCCTATTGAGACATCAGATTCTTTTTTCTTTCTTTACGAATCACTGTCGTCGTGTGGACCTGCTGTCTTCGATACAATAACATTTTCGAAAAAGTTTAGTGGCGGGTCTCTTTCAACTTGAATTATAAATTATACCGAGAAGTCCGAGAGTCTTTGTTCAAGAACATTTGATTCCTATCGGGACACTGAGAGTTACACTCGAACGTAAATCGATGGCTCAGGTTGTGCGCACAAGGCTGAGATTCCTCGAGTTGAGAAAATTTTATTCTCATATATTTTTCAGTTCTCGAAAGTAGCATTCGCCACGGGAATGTCCAAGAATTGGCTACCATGATATCTCTTCGATAGACAAAGATCGATCGCATAAGGCATTATGTAAGTCATATTTTAAATCAACTGGATTTAAGAGTATCACGTAAGATATCCGTCAAGCTTTAAGTCAAAATACTAAAATAAACTGCAGCGACATTTTTTCGCCGTCGTTCCCTGTTTCGCCGGTTAATTGACATCTCCCATGACGCGAGTGGAGGGAAAGGATGAAGAGCGATGTGTGAGAGGAAGTGGATTGGAGGGAAATGGCCAAATAGGAATTGCCCGGATGCTGCGAGGTTGCAGCTGCTGTCGCGCTGAAGTAGGACGAACGTTCTCCCCGACTGCGTAAATAATAAACGATTCCTCGCGCCAGCTGCAGTGGCGCGATATACAAGCTCACCTGCGGTGAGAAGATTCTTTTTCGTAAAGCGATTTGGAGGACGGAACAGTTTACCCATCCGCCAAGTTTACCAAAATTACGGCGTGCATGCTTGAATCGATTGATTCGAGATTCGACGACTAATTCGTCGACGACTGATGATGGGGTCGCGCAAAGCCACACGACTTCTTTTCAAAGATTGTTTCGCGGATGGGGAAGAAATGATCGAACGTCTCACTATTCTTCAAATCTGGTTCGTACGAAACGATCATAACGCGGCACGTATAATCATGTTCGTCAAAAAAGATCGTTAATCAAAACTTAAGTTTTTGAATTCTCATTTGACGGAAGTTTGAGCAAACTTTGCCATGGATGTGACAAACTCGACGATCTCTGCGAGGCAGATCGGCACACCGCGTATTCACCACACGAGGGAGGAATTATTCAAAAACTTGGGCTAGAACAAGTACATACAACCGTGATATCGGTAACTTTCCTGGTAACAACATGCTATCGTGCTTGAAAATACTTTTCATATAAGATGCCTGAGAAGGAATTTGTATTTATTTGGCAAGATATCGAAAACAGGAATAAACGCAGCCTGCATTATATTGCTCGACATATTTTATATATTTCATATAACGA